ACATCTATCCAGAACTTCATAGTCGGGTGTGCAGTATGCCAACAAAACAAGTCGGCCACTACAACACCAGCAGGCCTCTTGCAACTCCCAATACCAACCCAAGTCTGGGATGATATATCAATGGATTTCATCACAGGATTGCCCRTTTCTRYCGGCAAAACAGTTATCCTTGTGGTRGTGGATAGATTGACGAAATACAATCATTTCCTACCTCTATCACACCCATTTACAGCAATCACAGTTGCTGAATTGTTCCTCCGGGAAATTGTGCGCCTACACGGGCTCCCCAGCTCAATTGTATCAGACAAGGACCCTATTTTTATGAGTCGTTTCTGGGCTGAGCTTTTCTCCTGCACGGGGTTAAACTCTTCAAGCCAACTAGCTACCACCCCCAATCTGATGGACAGACAGAGGCGGTTAACAAGAGTCTCGAAACATATCTGAGATGCTTCGCGGGAGATCGACCAAGACAATGGGTGAAGTGGATCCACTGGGCTGAATGGTGGTACAACACCACTTTCCATAGCACCGCTGGGATGACACCCTTCAGAGCTCTATATGGTCGGGACCCTCCCCTCTACTTATGAAAAAGGGACCACCAAAGTAGCGGCCTTAGAAGAACAGCTGACGCAATGAGATGAGGTGTTAAAGGAACTGAGACATCATCTCTTATAGGCACAGCAATGGATGAAGCACACCTACGATAAACATCACAAGAATGTCCAATGTGAAGTCGGTGATTGGGTGTTTCACAAATTACAACCTTTCAGACAGATTTCAGTTGCAAGCCGACAATGGAACAAACTCACCCTGCGCTATTTTGGACCATCTAAAATCCTTGAGAGAATAGGGTCAATGGCCTACAAACTGGACCTTCCGGCAACATCAAAACTGCGCCCTGTATTCCATATCTCCTTACCGAAGAAAGGGCCGAAATCAGGAGTCATTACAAGTGCGACCCTTCCCACATTTTCAAAGGAAGGACAAGTGCAGACTGAGCCAGCCCGCATCATTGATTTCAGATGGGTGCGCCGGGGTGGAAGAGTCATACTAGAAGCATTAGTTGTTTGGTCTAAACTCCTAGAAGAGGATGAAACCTGGAAATCCTACTTAGATCTGCAATCAAATTTTCCCACATTAGACCTTGAGGGCAAGGTCGCTCTAAAGGAGGGGGGATTGTAAAAACTACTGGAACAAACCAACAGAAAGCAGTTAATCAGTTTTACAAGAGGAGGCCACGTCAACACAACTAATCGTCCACTTGCAACAACTGTAACAGAAAGAAATCAAAGATTGTAAACAGTATAATTAGCGAAGCACAAAGAGAAATAAGACAGTAATTCTTTCGGCATTAATCTCTCTCTCTCCTTCCAACGAATTCAAGAGGTTGGCTCCCTCGAAGAGCCCTGAGTTAAGCAGGTTCCTAACACCCATTCCCCCAAAGATTGTTGTTTTTTGTTGGGAAGTTTATTATGGTAAGATTAACACCTTTGAAAACCTTCAAAAGAGAAGACTAAATTGGTGTGTTCTTTGTAAATCTCAGAATGAGGACTGTCACCACTTACTGATCTCTTGCTCCTTTGCTACAGCTTTATAGAACTGGATTCTTACGTTGTTTGAGTGTAGGTGGAACCTGCCATCTGATACTAGTTTGTTGTTTAGTCCGTCTATTTTTGAATGGCACACAAAGAGAGGGA